ACCTTTATTGAAAGGTTCTATACAAATACAGTTGTCGTTGTCGTTGTTGTTGTTGTTGTTGTTGTTGTTTTTGTTTGTGTTGTTGTTGTTGTTGTTGTTGTTGTCGTCGTTGTTGTCGTCGTCGTCGTCGTCGTCGTTGTCGTTGTCGTTGTCGTTGTCGTTGTCGTTGTCGTCATCGTCGTCGTCGTCATCATGATGAGTATTTTGCAAAAACTTTCCATCTTTGTCGTTCGTGCAGGTTGTTTTTCGTTGGGGCCAGAGAGGGCCACCTACCCAACAGCCTGAGTATGATTCACATGGAGCGCTACACACCCATACCTGCACTGCTGTTCAATGTGAGGACCAAATATTTTATCTTATCAAAACAAACTATCATCTGTTTCCCACACAACAAAAAGGCATAAATATATGAATTCATGTCCTGATAGAATAATAGGTGACTTGTCATTGTGCTGTGTGACTGCAGGGGTTAATGGGCCTGATCTTCCTGTGTGTGGAGGACGTGTTCCAGCTCATCAACTATTTCAGCTTCAGTTACTGGTTCTATGTGGGTCTGTCTGTAGCCGGCCTCATCTACCTGCGCCTCACTCAGCCGGACCGATACAGGCCGTTGAAGGTGCAGCTTGTCTCACGCTTCACATGTCATTCTGCGTATATTGTAAAGAACACTCACCTAAAGGATTAGTAGGAACACCTGTTCAATATCTCATTAATGCAATTATTTAATCAACCAATCACATGGCAGTTGCTTCAATGCATTTAGGGGTGTGGTCCTGGTCAAGACAATCTCCTGAACTCCAAACTGAATGTCAGAATGGGAAAGAAAGGTGATTTAAACAATTTTGAGCGTGGCATGGTTGTTGGTGCCAGACGGGCCGGTCTAAGTATTTTCACAATTCAACCATTTCTAGGGTTTACAAAGAATGGTGTGAAAAGGGAAAAACATCCAGTATGCGGCAGTCCTGTGGGCGAAAATGCCTTGTTGATGCTAGAGGTCAGAGGAGAATGGGCCGACTGATTCAAGCTGATAGAAGAGCAACTACAACCGAGGTATGCAGCAAAGCATTTGTGAAGCCACAACATGCACAACCTTGAGGCGGATGGGCTACAACAGCAGAAGACCCCACTGGGTACCACTCATCTCCACTACAAATAGGAAAAAGAGGCTACAATTTGCAAGAGCTCACCAAAATTGGACAGTTGAAGACTGGAAAAATGTTGCCTGGTCTGATGAGTCTTGATTTCTGTTGAGACATTCAGATGGTAGAGTCAGAATTTGGCGTAAACAGAATGAGAACATGGATCCATCATGCCTTGTTACCACTGTGCAGGCTGGTGGTGGTGGTGTAATGGTGTCGGGATGTTTTCTTGGCACACTTTAGGCCCCTTAGTGCCAATTGGGCATCGTTTAAATGCCACGGCCTACCTGAGCATTGTTTCTGACCATGTCCATCCCTTTATGGTCACCATGTACCCATCCTCTGATGGCTACTTCCAGCAGGATAACGCACCATGTCACAAAGCTCGAATCATTTCAAATTGGTTTCTTGAACATGACAATGAGTTCACTGTACTAAAATGGCCCCCACAGTCACCAGATCTCAACCCAATAGAGCATCTTTGGGATGTGGTGGAACGGGAGCTTCGTGCCCTGGATGTGCATCCCACAAATCTCCATCAACTGCAAGATGCTATCCTATCAATATGGGCCAACATTTCTAAAGAATGCTTTCAGCACCTTGTTGAATCAATGCCACGTAGAATTAAGGCAGTTCTGAAGGCGAAAGGGGGTCAAACACAGTATTATTATGGTGTTCCTAATAATCCTTTAGGTGAGTGTACATAGTGTGTATGTGCACACATTCAAATGTATCTACAGTTACATTTAGATTCACAGGTCTTATTTGTCACATGCTCATGCAGCATGTGAGATGAAATGCAGTGTGGTGTCCTTAGTTAAACCTTTGGTTAAACTAAGAGATAGAAATGTTTTTTTATTTTATTTGACCTTTTCTTTTCTAAGGGAGACCTGGCCAAGGTAGCACACCAGTTACAATTTAAATGGGAATAAAAAATACAGTTGACAGTGAAACAAACAACAATCACATATAGAAAGGAACTAAATCCAGCTCACATGAGGCAGTTACATGGAGTTTTAAGCTTTAAATTCAGTTAATGGGACTTCATCATTTAGATGTAGTAAGTTTTGTAAATCATTCCAAGTCTTTTTTTTCCCCCATCTGGTAAGAGAGACAACTAGTGGAACGGAGAATTGCTTGAAATCTGCTTCAGGAGATTACATAAATATGCCTGCAAGTTTACCCACCATGGGTTTGTTCACAAAAATATACAAATTAAATTGTCTGCATAGACGTAGTAATAGTCAGTCTACTACATCAAAGAGTGTACAATGGTGAGTACGGGAACCAGAGTTAGTTATAAAACACAGCACACTATGGTACACAGAATCTAAAAGGTGAAGTGTACTAGAAGCAGCATTCATGTAGACAACATCATAGTCCCATATTTAAAGGATAAAAATGATTAATAGTTTAAGTGTATGTTGGCCCAGTTGTAAGGGAAATCATACAATAAAATATTGCTTGCACTTGAGTGCAAGTGTGCAGGGCACTGAATGGGATGCACAGAGGACAATGTGCTACACAGAGCAGGGGCTATAAAGAGGTCACCATCCCGATGGCCCGAGGGAGGAAACCCCTTCAGCTGACTTAGCTCATCAGCCTTTTGTGGACAACCTCAGTGGCCTTTCTGTGTTAAATTAACAAACAAATATGACTAAGACATTTGCATACAGTGGGTCTGTGATTTTTTGTCTTCTCTGATTATGAACATGATGTGAAGCATTCATACAGGTTACACCGTTTCCATAGTTCATGTAATGGCATGTAGACAAATAAGGTACTAACCAGATTTGTGTCCTTTTCTCTCCACAGTTGACCTTGTTCTTCCCCTTCATCTACTGTCTGTGTAGCCTGTTCTTAGTCATCGTCCCTCTGTACGGAGACACCATCAATTCTCTAATAGGAATTGGCATTGCGCTGTCTGGGGTGCCAGTCTACTATGTGGCCATTTACCTGCCAGAGGAGAGGAGGCCCAAATTCATATGCAAGTTAAACAGTAAGTTTTAAATGTTATATTTAAGGGCAGTAGAATGTGTTTTCATTTAAGGGTATGATTATCAGGACATTACTGTATTTGTTGAGCCACGTTCAAACATGTAAAGAGGAAGTGACACAAGCAAGACACTACATGAAGAGTATGGTTACTATGTTTATCATTACACAATCATACAGCCTTCACCCACTTTGTCAAATATCTGTCCCACGGGTTTTTAGATAACTTTCGAAAAACAGCATTAATCATGTTGGATTATCAGAGTAAGGTGTAAATGATGTCTCAACTCACTCTTTCTTTTCTCATCCCTCCCACATCTTCTCTCCTCCAGCCTTTGCCACCAGATCCATCCAGATGCTGTTCTACTGCTGCCTGACTGAATTTGACACAGAGACAGAAGCACAAGCCGGCAGTAAAAGGCAGTGAGCAACAGACAAAGCCTGCCGTTCAGTAGCCAGCTTTCGGCCGGAGGCCTCAGTCCGTGTTATCCGTGTTGTGTTTACATCTGTGTTGACCTCAAGGCCTTTCATGGAAAGAGCAACATTTGTGGGGATTGCTCCTGCCAGGTGAAGTAAAAAAACAAAAGGCTTGACATCTGAAATGATTCAACACAAACGAGCAGGCACTGTGAAAATGTGATTTTTTGTTAAACTTTTTTTTTTTTCACAGAGATCAAGGAATATCTTCTATGAGGATTTAATGAAACTAAGGGGAAAATATGTAGCTCAAACTCAATCAGTATTTTTCAGACTTGTGTGCAGATGTAAGCTGGTAACATTTTGTCTGACACTGTTTATATATCAGATTATGATTATGTGGCTGGAATTCAATCATGGCATAGTCGCTAATTATCAAAAGAATTTCAAATGCTCTAATTTATCCAGGGATAGTTTTATAGTTTGATTACATATTCATCTGTGGAAAAACTGTAAATGTAAAAACATTGACATTGTCAATTTCAACCAATTATCTAGGATTGGTTCCTGAGAAGCTTCACTATGGAGCAGTTTAAGTTAAGTTCCGTATATATTTATTTTTTTACTTATTTTCAACTTGTTATTTCAGAACAGGTTTTTAGAAGCAGAGCACCTTGTAACTCACTCATTCACCTTTAGCTGACTGCAGCTTCTCCACAAGGGGGAGCTGTTTTATCTGTGTCAGACCTGTTCTACACATGCCAACCTGAGCCAAAGTGACAGGACCATAACATGTTGCTGTTACTTTTCTTGCCTCTAGGTGGCGCAGGTTGGACTGGAACTGCAGGTCCAGTACTGCTGCACATTTTAATTGTCAAATGATAATTGACCAGAATGGATGGTACCATTTATAAGACGTGATTTTTGTGCCTCATACTGTTTTTGGAAAACAGGCAGATATATTTAAATAAAAGGTAAAACCTCTACTTTTCCAGTTAACTTGAATCTGTTTTCAATCAGTTGAATTAAAATAAATGATATCTATGAATTAAATTAAACGCAGTTTAATCACATCATTTTATGTTTAACTGCAAATGTTTTTCATGCATCCTATTATTTAAATCTCTTCTTTGCCATTGCATCTCTGTTCAAAGTACCATTTCATAAAAGTAACTGAAATTTCTATTTTTTTTTTACAGCTTTGCAACAAATACACATGTATTCTTAGTCAAACACACTTGAATACAAATTGAAAATGAGCTGTTATGATGAAACCTCACTGTAAAATTTGACTGGTAGACCTCATATCACACACTTAAGTGGAGTAAACTCAACCACATACTTTACTCTCATCTTATCATTTTGTTGTGCTTTGTTTCTAACATCTTACTGTTTTCACTTCATCATGAGAAGCTTCAGATTGTTGGCTGAGCAAGTCTTACAAGAGGATGTATTTTCAGTTTTTATTTCATTTATTTATGGTAAAAACATGACATTAATATAATATTTAAATGCTGTTCAGGGGAATTCTCTGTGCATCAGCTGTTAAAAAATCCTGGAACTTCATTCATTTCATCATGTTTATATAACACAAACAACTGAATTTCAGAGAAAATACAGTTGAATCAAACCATTTTAAAATGCACTTACAAAGCATTTTTAACACAAATCTTAATGACGCACACGGAATAAAACAGGAAAATACACTGTTAATAACCAATTTTCTCTGAAGTCTTACAATCATTTAACACATGAAGTGACATTTGGAGCAACTTAAGATAAGGTGCAGTTGGCAGTATCGAACCCAGAACAGATCCACTTGTTGCTGAACTGTTTGTATCCTTCAGCATTGATCAGGTCACTTCCTGAACAGAGAAAAGCACACAGACAACTTATTATCATGGCTCCTTATGGATTTAAACACTGACCAAAGTTCCCCAATGTTAGAAAGAAAATGCTGCATAAGTGCCCTCTTGAATGCACATTTCGTAAATAAAACAAAATATTGTGCCTTCTATGTGTCCGGTGTGCAAGAGAACATGATGCAGTGCCCTCTAGAGTGCCGGGGCATACTGTGTATATGTCTAGGGCCCATTTTATGCTAAAGGTACCCTTCAGCGTCTGTATGAAACTTGGAAATTTCCCAGTTCCGAGCAGTCTGGAACGTGGCATAACCCTACCTGTTAGCATGGCCGATGTGCACAGCTGTAGGGTTAGCCGGTCTACATGCATAAAGTCAGTGACTTATGCCATGTTCACACTGAAAGCGAATCCAGCGTTTGTCACCCAGTTCCCGGGAGTTCAAATTATTCAACTTGAAATTCGCTTGACATGATGTTGAAAGCTTATCAGTGATGAAAATGTTTAGACTTCACCTGCTGACTTTGGAGCGTTGTTTGGAGAGGACCAGGCCAGCGGTGTAATGACAATCCACTGGCCCATGGGGAGCTGCTAAAGAACGGGGAAGTAGACGGGGAGCAGAGCTGCAGCTTTTGGACAAATAAACACCTGTAGTGGGTCTGGATTCTGCTCTGACAACTTAGCTGTTTAACCAGGGGGGGAGGTGCTGCCCCACTATTTTCGCCCATGTCACTCAGACAGAGTCCACTACTGTTTATTCCTATAAGTCATTTAGACCCCAAAATATGTAAAACAAGAGAGAGAAAAAAGGTCCATAATAACCCTTTATTTCCTATTTCTAGAAGATAGAACAAAACCCACTTGAAGTGGTTCTTATCTAAGCAAAACATTTGAAATATTTACCGTCCATCAGGTTCTGAAGGCTACAGTAGTTTGTGTTGTTATCAGCTGGATCTTTGGAAAACTCAGACACTGCCTCGCCCTGCATGTCAGAAACAAGAAGGCAGAATTGTCATGAAGCATGAAAGAAGGGAAACCACATGTCAAAGAGGAATGTCAGTGACTAATGCTGATTAATTCTGAACTCCGATTATCTCTTTAACTTCTGAAAAAAGTAACTCCCCACTGTAACATCACATGCACATTTTCAATCTGCTTGATTTTTTCATCAAAGCCATATGACATATGAGTGTTATTACTCATTCAGAAAAAAACACGCACTTACAGTCACTTTGCAAACGGTGGACTGCTCCAGAAGAAACTGTAGGTTGTTCACTCTTTTGGTTGCTGGAGAAGTGTGGGTGGCTGTGATCAGGTACGGGGCTGTCGACACAAGCTGCAGCACATTTCACATTCAGTCAATTCTGACAGGAACATTCTTACTGCACATTTCAAGCTCAGTTTGTTAGTATGTATTTCTACATTGTGCATCGGGTACCACTGATCATATCGCAGTGACATGTTTCAGTTTGCACGTACTGTTTAGTATCTTGTGAAATTATTTTGTTTCTGTTAACTGTTTTAAGAATCTGTGTGGCTGTGATTCAAGTGCAAGGTATAAATGGTAAGACATTATAACTGTGTTTTTAAATACATTTTTCATTCAATATCTGTTTATACAGCCTCCACTTAGACTGCCAGGAAGTGTTATAATGGTTGACAAATACATTAATAAACAATTATATCTGCTTACAACTACATTATAACCCATTTATTAAATGTTCATGTACAGCATATAAATGCAAAGTTAAGTGTTACCCAGAAATGGCACAGTATGTTCCTATATCTGTTCTGCATGTTCGCAAGATATTAAAGGATTAAGGTACATCTGATTACATTTATATGTCACACCATGTTCTATCCAGACATGTTCGCAGGCAAGTGGCATTACAGGCATTCTCTATCGAAAATGTTTCATTATGGTTTATTTGAGATGTTTTAAATGTTTAAAAATTCTTCATTATAATTCCACAATGTATTAGTTGACTTAGATGTTTCTGACCTCATATGAGCACCGCTCTCCTGCATATAAACAGCTTTGCCGGATCTGCCAGGCCTTGATCTGGCTCACCAGCTTCCCATACACATCTTGGCACGAGATGCCAAACAACCTGCAGAGCACATCAGTGAATGTTAGATTTGTTCTCGTCGCATTTAGTTAAAGGCTCATGAATTATTTCACCAACAACAGAAAAAAAGGGATTAATAAAAAGATGAACTTGAATCTGGTAATCATTTCTCTGCACAGATGTGACTAATGTGAGTCCTGTCTCCACCGTGTCCAAGATAAAATGCGTGGGAAATTAGGCTGCACCTTGTCCAACATGTATTTGACCCCTTTATACTGTGACAGCACCATCATATAGCCTTATCTCTGTCTAGCTGGTCACATGGTACAGCATGGACGTTAATAATTAAATGAAGCAGTTTTACATTTTTGCAAAAATATGAAAGATTCCTTAAAAGCACCCACAGTACACTCATATACAGTTTTCTTCAACACAAGCTAATTAAATCTCTAAATTCTCTCTCTTTATATAATTGGTGACTTTGCATAAATACTCAAAAGAAAACTTTACAACATTACCATTTGACTTTGCACTGTGCGGTGCGGTCTGCCAGTGAGATGGTGAGTGTGGCCCCCAGGAGGAGAGCTGACGCTGCAAACAGGATCCTCAGGTCCATACCAAACACCGGGTAGATCAGGTCTAGTGTTCTCAGTAGGCTATGTGGTCAAGTGTGTGGATGTCCTGTGAATGTCGGCTCGATCTCTCCCCCGAGGCCTTAAAAGGGCAGCACATCACAGGTCATGTGGAAAAACTGGAAAAGAGGATATCGATTAACACGGACACGCAGCATGGGTCAGAGAAAGAGAGTGGAGGAAACTGAAGTGTTTTCGGCCTTAATGGGCTGTGTAACCATTTTAAATACAGATGAATCCTTTTCAAAGCATTTCAGAAGTTTTTAGATTGATTTAATATCTTCTGCAGCCATTGCTTTCCGAGTGAAACACCATATCACCAGCATCCACAGCAACATTGGGCCCCTGTTACCCTGGACAACCCACAGAACACATTGTGAACAGTTTTCAAAAAGACTCTGTGGAAGAACCATGGAAGAACATCTTTTTTTGGTGCACAGTAATGTAGAAGGGGAAACTTGAATCATACTTAATTAAGATGATTTGTGGTTGGATGATTAAAATCAGTGTTTTGAAAGAAGTCTCTCCTTAGTTAGAGTTTTTGCCTGTTCTGCCTCCCAACACCTGCGTATATCCAATCAGTAACACTGATTTAATCATTTGTTGTGCTAATTAGGGGCAGCAGGAACAAGCATTGAAGACACGATTGACCTCTTATCACCTTTTAAATTAATACTGTATGATGAAGGTGTTGCTTATTTACACAGCAGACACGCAGCAACATTAACAATTGTTTGGAGTCGCGTTTCTGTCCAATATTTGTGATTTAATTCTCAACAAATGACACATTTCTTATAAACATAATCATCTGATACATTTTTAATATGAAATATATTATAGCAGCTTTTATATTTTAAATGAAAATATCAGGGGCTTTTTCTTTTTCTCAAACAGTGACATTTGTTCAAACAATTGTTAATTCTAATAATAAATCCAATTCAATATTGTTTGGATTTACAGGTTGGTGTTTGTTGGTTGATAGCCACGCTTATGCTGTGAACAAGCATAAGACAATATTTCTGAGAGGTGTAATGTTAAAAACTAAAGAAAAGGAAATGGTGCAAAAAATATACTCAGTTTTAGGTTGCTCTCTACTGTCTGGAAGTGGAACTGCAGCAAGAACACACCATTTTTAACTTACTAACATAAGCAACACACACAAACACACAGCTTGTTATATTTTCTCATCACACAGTTTTGCTGATGTTTCAGCACAGACAAGGGAGGATTTGACTCTGGTTTAATTTTTCAGTCTTCATTGTCCAACTTGTCATGTGGGACATTATCTTGCTTTGAACCTCTTGAACAGTGTCTTGTATTCACAGGCTGTGATAGTTTTCCAGTCTCTGTTTTAGACTGCTAAACAACTGTGGTGTCACTGAATCAAAACTATCTAACTATTCGTGAGATATCTCATGTTTGTTTAGGTGTACTGGTCTGGAAGTAACTAAAACAGGTTGTAATGTCACTATGTTGAGACACATCAGTTCATCGTTTTCAAAACATTTTGAACATTGTTGCGTTGTTTTCTTGTGAGCTTATTGAGACTGACCCTGAATGTGAACAGAATTACATCCTGAGTTATTGGCACTAAAAGAAAGACAAAGTTGACTAAATCAAAACACACACACACACACACACACACACACACAAAGACAATATTTGTTTTTGGGGAGCAAAGCCTTCCAACAGATTTATTAACCTAGTTTAACATCTCTGAATCCGCCCACATCTGCAGATTATTCATCGATTCAAACAATAAAAGTGAAATGAAGCATTTCAGTCTGAGAATGAGGTTACTGATTTATTTCTTCCATGCATTTTTATTGCATTTAAAACAGCTCACTAATCATGTGTGTTTGGTGAGAGTGGACGATTGAGAAGAAGAGGTAATTAAATATATGATTGCTGGAAATACAGCATTTATTTTGTAATGCATAAAGTAGATATGGGCACAGATAATTCTGTGAAACTTCAGAAGAAACTGGTAAACTTGTTTTTACATTTATGCATTTTGAAACAGAAAAATACTGCATAACCTTTCTGTCATTTGGATTATTTTGTACAATTGCCACGTCTCACAGCTCTCACTACGATGTCACTCAGCTTTCATTGAAAATCTAGTAACAAACCCAACAGCTCCCTGCAGTATGTCACGGTGGAGTTTAGGTTTATTTTAATATTCATGATTGCAGGAAATGTGTCACTAATGTTTTAAAAACAACTAAAACTTCTGACACTTCAAACTTGACACCATGCAGAATCATTCATTTTTACCTCCCTTTGATGAATCAAGGTAAATGCAGTTTATCATTTTAGACCAAATCAGGTCTTTTGCTCAATTAAAGTTTGTCAGTTTAACACCAACTAAGACTCATATTTTGTCCTCAGTAGTACTGTACTTCCACTCAATTCTGCATGTTTCAAAGAGAAAAATCTTAAAATCTCAAAAATACATACATTAAAAACTGCACTGAGAATCCTCTTTATCCACATTTTATCATAGAGGTAATAAAGTCTTGTGTTTCATGTCTAGTAACCAAACACGCAGAAAGCTGTGAGTTGAGGTCTCAGACTCTGGTGAGGCTCTTTACTGTTAGACTGAAGTTCAGATCAGGTTGGAGATGCTGGATAATGCCATAGAGCTGAAAGACACAAACGAAGCTCAGCATTAAGTTCAGTTAGGAAGATTATTTTAATGCCTCTGTTTCACAAAACTGTTGCGACCCTCCTCCTCCAAGGTTTGACCCTGGCATTTGCCATCTTTATATTGTGCACATGGCAATAGAAGTGTTATTTGTTCACTCTCTCCTGAGTGAAATCATTTTAAACTCATCATATTCAGGTCCTGTGTGGGAGCATTGCCTGTTTTCACTGTACAGTCAACAATTACAGTGTTATCAGATTGCGTACTGCATTAATTACATCAGAGAGCACAAATACTGAAATGGTTTTATGAATGTTTTACCATATACATTTTAAAAAAAGGTTGGATATTATACCCTGTAAGGTTATGAACATTAGTGAGTCACCTGGTTCAGGACTGGAGCAACTGCCGTTTCATTTAGCTCCTGATAGGACCAAACAACTGTCTGAAGGATTGCCACAACTGTGGGACATATAAAGATATGTCACTAATATAAAGTTTGACTTTTATTATAATTATATATATAAGCTTAAAATGCTTAAAATGCTTACCATTGTCTGTTGAATTAGATGTTAGCAGGACCGACGTTGCCTCGATTGATTCTGATTCAGTGAAGAGAGGTGGTGTCATTGGGGACATCTCCCTGTCATATAGGGGAAAGGAAGCTGTGGAAACACGGCAATTAATTAGCTGACACTTTAAATCTAGACATTCAAACTTCTTACACCAAATCTTAGCTCTATACAAAAAAAAAGATCTCCTTTAGTGACTTCTGCTGGTGAACTCACTTGTCTGTGAAGAGCATGAGGCCAAACATCCAGCAAACAGGATCAGCAGCAGCATGTTGAAGCTTTATTCCAGCAAAAGAGCAAAATCGTTGTGTTCCGCCTGCTTCCACAGAGCCTCTGGCTACTTTTGTTCTGTACAAGGAAGTGATACCCTTATTCAAAAGGTGCAGCAGCAACAACAATAGACTCTTGGAAAATTATCTGGGCCGGAGGGATTTGAGTGGATGACCGAAAAGCCATACCATTCAATGAAATATGAGAAGGAACTTAGTCGGTCAAGCATGCAATTTCCAAGGACAATTATCCGTTCCCATGTGTGCTATAAGTTTTAGTTTAACTTAAAACAACCAAAGACAAACTGTGGCAGCAAGATTTTTCTGTCTTTTTATTGAGATGTATTTGAGTCAGTTACATTTTTGAGACACAAACCCCATAAAAACAAGAACAGGAAATAAAAAACAAGGGTCGTGTTTCTTTTTTCAAATTAAGTCTGTCTACACATGGTGGGCACCTCCAATCTTTTTTTGGAGGATGTGACTGTCTTCCTCAGGCTACATTACAGTTGAATAAATAAATAAAATAACTACAAAGAAATCAACAAAGTCTACAAATAACACACTTACACATAATACTAAAATTAACAGTAACAGACTTTTTAATCCATCACAAAACAGAATGACCCACACAAGTTATCCTGAACCTCTTCAGAATTGTGTCCATCAGATAATAAAACGTTATTTTGTGCAACTATAATGAATAATTTATGAGAAAATAAAGAATGATGATACATCGGCCATCAGACAGAGGAGCAGCACACTACGGGCTCTTTAGCTTTCTGTTGCTGCTGCTGCTGGTGCTCGCAGAGCTGGAACGTCTGGAGGTGGTGAGAGGAGAGGAGGTCACAGTCAGATCCAAGCCCAGTTCCACAGTCTTCAGTACGGGGGAGTGAAGAGCAGAGGCCCTGGGGCTGCTGCCTGCTGACGACGCAGGAGATCTACAGTGCAGAGAGAGAACAACACCATAAAGATAGTGAGGGAGAGCAGCATACAAAATTTCTCAATATTTTTTGTTAAAAAAGTGCAAAGAATCTCGAATGGTATCTTTAAATATTTTAACGTTTTATTTATACAGTTAAAGACAGGTCAGGCAACCACGGTCTTTCTCACTGAGAAATTCTCAGCCAAATGGTTATAATCCATTGGCACGAGAGCAGTAACAGTTCAAAAGTTTAAACCAATGGCCATCCGACAGTAAGCGCTCATTATTTCTGTAACCTCTCACCTTCTCTGGGGAAGAGTTTTTAGCAAGAAGTCTGACCTGAGGGAGGCGGAGCTGCAGGCAGAGTTTGTCTTGGAGCTCCGATGGCTCGTAGGAGTGGAAGAAGGAGATGGAAAAGTCAGATTGGCCTGAAAAAAACAGCAGAAAAAAAAAGACAGTTAAGGAAACCTGTTTTTGCTATTGCAAATCCCCCTAAATGACTCCAAAATGACAGTAAAGCACAGCCTGTCATATCTTCATGCTTAAATGAATCATCTGAATATAAAACAATGCAGTGTTTATTGTTGCATACCTGCAGGAAGTATTTCTCCAACACTGTTCTGAGGTCAGGTTTGTCCTCCACAGCTTCGTTCAGCATC